GTTTTAAAACTATCGAATATATCGTGACTATTCGAATGTTTTAACTATTCGAATAGTTTTGGAAAGACTATCGAATAGTTCGAATAGTGAACTACTATCGAATAGTTCGATAGTGACTATTCGATAGTGCCCATCAGACTCTGATGTAAATATAATCTCATTAAAAACGTATAACAAAATTTTAAGATCAGTAGATGACATAACACTACAAAATAAGAGCATAAATGTAGAAGCATATGGGGGTACAAATATTGAGGTAATAGGCATAACCAAATTGAAAATGAAGGTATTAAATAACAAAAACACCATGTCTCATGAACACTTTATTGTTGCAACAAATGATGCAGTATCCATCTTAGGCTTAGAAACCTTTCTCAAATTAAAATTAATAAACAGAACGCAGTAAATGCACTAAAAAAAAACAAATATAAAGAAAATTGAAGTAATGCATAAATATAGAGATGTGTTTAGAGGGGTAGGTTGTTTTAAGAACCCATATTCAATTAAATTAAAAGAAAATCATACGCCCGTATCAAAACCACCACACAGAGTTCCAATTAAAGTGAAAGAAAAGTTAAGAGAAGAACTAAGTCGTTTAACTGAACTTGGAATTATATCTAAAATTAACGAACCCACAAGCTGGGTAAATAAAATTGTAATTGTTGAAAAACCAAACGGATCAATAAGAATATGTCTGGATCCAAAGGATTTAAATATGGCTATAAAAAAAAAATAYTTCTCGTTACCAACATTAAATGATTTATCAGCTGAATTAGGAAAATCGAAAATATTCAGTTGCTTAGATTTAAAGGATGGATTTTTTCATGTACTGTTGGATAAGAAAAGCTCAGAATATTGTACATTTTCTACAATTTATGGGTGCTACTCGTTTAATAGACTACCATTTGGTATATCAGTAGCCGCAGAAGTATTTCAGAAGTATAATACAGAATTGTTTATAGATATAAAAGGTGTTTTTATATATGTAGATGACATATTAATACATGCGGAAACAGAAGAAGAACATAATAAAATATTAATTGAAGTACTTGAAAGAGCTAGGGCAAATAATATAAAGTTCAACAAAAATAAACTCCAATATAATATGCTCAATAAAATAAAATATTTGGGACACAGATTTAGTGAAGGTAAAATAAAACCCGATAACAGTAGAATTTCGGCAATAGAAAATTATGATCAACCAAAGAAATAAAAAGATTTACAATGATTTTTTGGATTAGTAAATTATCTACGTAATTTTATGCCAAATATAGCTGAAATCACATCTCCTTTAAGACATTTGATAAAGAAAAATGCAGAGTTCATATGGAATGATACTCATACAGAATATATAAGAAAATTAAAAAATATTTTAACGATCACTCGTTCACACCAGTGTTACAAAATTTCAATTCAAACCTCAAGAGTACAATCCAAACAGATAGTAGTATGAATGGTATAGGGTGTGTGTTATTACAAAATGGGAAACCAATATGCTATGCCTCAAAAAGTCTATCACCAGTGGAATGTAATTATGGGCAAATTGATAAAGAATTCTTAGCAATTTTGTTTGCCTGCAATAAATTTTATCAGTTCATTTATGGAAAAAAAATCACTGTACAAACAGACCATTTGCCACTTATTTCACTAATGAAAAAAGATATTAATCAAATTTCATCAAAGAGATTGCAACGAATCAAACTAAAATTAAGCATAATGGCATTGAAGTAGTGCATGTCACAGGAAAAGAAATGTACATAGCAGATGCAATAAGTAGGAAATGTTCAAAGTCTGAACATTGTGAAACAATACCAGATGTAAATCAAGTAGTACATACAGTAAACATGAGTGAAACAATAAAAGAAAAATGCAAGAGGATACTAATAAAGATAAAGTATTACTAGAGTTAAAAAATATGTATAAAAATGGATGGCCAAATTCCAAAACAAAGGTACCGGAGACTATAAAATTTTATTTTAACTAAAGAAACAAAATTTGTGTAGAGGAAGAATTAGTATTTTTAGAAAACTGTATTATAGTTCCAAAGACAATGAGATCAATAATTTTGAGTAAATTACACGATTCACACCTTGGAATTGTTAAAACAAAAGGTCGAGCAAGAATGTTATTTTACTGACCAAACATGAATGATGAAATAGAAAATGTAATAGCTAAGTGTAGAGTTTTTGAAAAATTCAATAACAAAAATTGTAAACAACCAATGATAATAGAAAAACAACCTGACCTTCCATTTCAAAAAATTGGATGCGATATTTTAGAATACAAAAACCACTCATATATGGTACTAGGGGACTATTATTCAAAATGGATTGAATTAGTAAGACTAAAGTCAAAAAATTCAGAAAATATACCTAATAAGAGTGTTACAAAATATTTTTTCAATACATGGAATATCTAGGGAAATGAGAGCAGACAATATGCCATTTTATTCTACAAAAATAAAACAATTAAGTAAAGAGTGGGATTTTATAATAACAACGTCAAGTCCATATTACCCATAAAGCAATGGGCTTACAGAAAAATGTGTAGGAATAGCCAAACAAATATTAAGAAAAAGTGATGAATCAAAAAATGAATTACAATTAATGCTAATGGAATACAGAAATACACCAATTTCAGGAACAAACGTAGTACCTGCTCAATTACTATTAAGTAGATTATGTAAGACAAAACTTCCAATAAAAGATGAATTATTAAAACCCAAAGTAATAAATAATTTTAATAAAATATTGAAGGAAAAGAATGAAACAAAAAAATACTACTATGATAAAAATTCAAAAGATAGAGAATTAGATATAAATAAAAACATAGTTTTTAAGGAAAATAACATCTGGAAACCTGCTGAAATTATACAACGTCACAAGGCACCAAGGTCAATCATTTTAAGAGACCAAAATAATAGAATTAA